GGGGGCCCCCCCCCCCCCCCCCCCCCCGCGATCACCCGCTATTCTAACAGGAAAACATTTGGACGAAACAAAGGAGAGCGGCACCAACATCAGCTGGCTACTTGGTATCCGCGAGCGCGCCAACAGGCGTAGGAGTTGCTGAGAAATTGTTCGCCGAAATCGAAAACACAAACCCATGACGACGATTCCAACACCTGAGTCTCGAGTTCCGCCGTCGAGTCGCGTCATCGAGCAGACACGCACACCTCACTACTCGGAACAAGACAAACGACGGGCCCCCCTGAAAAAAAAAAAAACAAGTCCTCGCACACTGCATAGGGTTGTAAACGTTGTTGACCCTGCCCGCACCATACCCTACCCCGAAAACGGAGCAAGCTCACCTTCCTTTGACTTCCGTCACTTCCACGATGGTTCCTGGTGTCAAGGTGCACTGGATGGGCGAGTCGAGCGGTTCTCCTGACCGCACGGTTGCCCCGCTCCGTCCCGTCACCTTATACTGATGGTTTCATTGAGTTCGTTCGCGTTTCGGTTTGTTTTGGGTGTCCGGGGGATAGAAACACGGTAGCAGCGGAGGACATCGGGGGGCACGCGGAGGCACACACGTGGTATTAGCACATACTCGGACACACACAGCAGCCATCTCTCCCTCTCTCTCTCTCTCTCTCTCCCTCCTTTTCTCTCGATATACCACGCTTATGTAATTGCGCTCGGGGGGGGGGGGGGGGGGGGGGACCCTAACCAAAAAAAAGGGGCCCTCTAAAAGTTCCCCCGGGGGGCCAAAAAAAATGGGAACCCCCTTGGGGAAAAAAAACCAAAACCAAATCCAAAAAAAACCCCCCCGAAAAACCTTTGGGGGGCCCCCCCAAAAAAAGGGAAACCCTGCCCGGGGGGCCTTGAAATTAACCCCCCCACCCCCCCAAAAAAGGGGGAAATTTCGCCCTTGGGCCCTTGGAATTGTCATTGCCACCCCCCCAAAAAGAGGGGGTAACCCGGCTTTGCGCCCCTAAAATTATCTTTAAGGGCGAAATCTTCGGGGAAAACCCCCCCCTAAAAAAAAAAAACCCCAAAATTCCACAACCAAAAGGGGGCAAAAAACCCCTGGGGGGGTCCTACTTGTAAAAAACCCCCTCGAAAAAACAAAAC